GAGAGCAAGCCCATGTGGCGTAGTGGTTTGAGTGTTGGCCTATGACTTAGGAGATCAGGGTTCGATTCCCTGCTTGATCAGAAAACCTACTGGTAGATTTTGAGCAAGTCACATGCTCTCAGCCTCAGGGGAAAGCAATAGCAAACCTCTTCTAATAAACCTTGCCAAGAACCCCCCATGATAGGTTGTTCTCCTTGGGGTTGCCATAAGTCAGAAATGACTTGAAGGCACACAACAACAATAACAAGTAAAGGAATTTACTTTCCTTTCATGACTCTCCAGAGCAGCTATCTGAGGTAGTCACTATCCTCTGACCAAAGGTAGTGCTGGGTTTGCCAAACAGAGAGAGAGAGAGAGAGAGACTGGTAAATTGAATTCTGGTGCTTGGTGGGTAAAAAATTGTGCAAGTAGAAATGCATTGTGTTAAGCTTAGAGGGAGTAGTATACATCTTTGCACAAATTAGTCCCAATCTCCACATAGGAATTGTAAATATCCCCTCCATTCAAAGGTTAATGCATTGTGGCCTGTTGAAGACACATACATTTATTGTGGAATTAAGAGTTGTGAATTACAGTCCACATTAGTATATTTTCTGGAAAGGTTCTTTATTCCCACTCTAAAGAATGTAGGCTGAGACAGCCTTTCCCCAACCATTATCCTTAAGTTATGTTGTACTACAGTTCCTATCATCCCCAACTAACATGAGTAAGACAGTTGCAGTCCTACACATGTGGAGGACACCAGATTAAGTAGACCTGTTTTTACAGATAGCATCATCACTAGCAATAAGTCTCCACTAATGGGTCTTAACTAATGGGCCTCATTCCTTATTTATAGTGGTACTGCTGTGCAAATGTATGTTGACTCATGGTTTTTGCTCCATTTCCAGACATCTTTTAAAGGATATCAAGGATGCATTCTTGTTTCATTACTATGTCATCATTCTACTGACTATTAAAAATGCCCATGAATATACTGGAACCAAAAAGGGTGAAATGAAAAATAATAAAAAGCTTTCAATAAAAATGAGTAAATACAATTTTAGGTTTGGTTTAAAAGAGACCACACTGGGGCAACAGTGGGATATAAAAGTAGGAAAGAGACCAGAATTAGGAGATTTTTAGAATGAAGTGGAAAGCATAATACAGAGTAAAGGGCAACAAAGAGAGTGTGGAATAATGCACACAAGGAACATATTGGCAAGTACCAGGAATAACAAATGTTTTAGATAGGAATTATTTTTAGACAACAGTGTGCAATAGTCGGCAGGCTAAATTCAACTAGTCCTACCTAGAGTGGACTATTATAAGCAATGGGACTGTTGTGACAAAGAAATCCTGTTCATGTCAATGGTTATATTCTAGATAACCCAGTACAGTCCACAAAAGAAAATCAGAGTAGTTGGCTTAGAAGACATCTTTAGTAAAACACAAATGGTCAACATAATGGGATTCCTTGTATATAAACCATGTTACTTTTTGCTCATCTTCATAATATATTTATAACTGTTCATGAATTCTACAGGATCAAAGATGTATATAGGGAAAATAAGGAGCACCAGACAAAACAACACTTTCCCAGTGATTGTCTCCAGGAATTAATACTGCAAGAGGCAGTGACAAATGGGCCATTACCAGGAGAGAACAAAGTATTAAGAGTTGCAACAAACATTTTATTTGGAAGAAAGGTAATTCTGTTTAGAGTATGAGTTGACCAGGAGCTGGATTAAAGGAAGATGGGAAGAATTTTTTGCAGATGATGAGTAATGGTAGAAGAGATAAAAGATAGCTGATAGAAGAGATAAAAGGTAGTTGCCAAGAACAGCAAAATATAGTTTTAGATAGATCATGATCTATCCCAGTGAGGAAGGAAAAAATAACTTTGATTTCTTAACAGCATCATCCAAAAGCTATGGGAAAGGTGCGAACCCAGCCTTTAATATAATAGCACATGACACACTAATGCAAAAATTATAGGAAGCAGCTATTGTTCTATTTCCATTACCATTAACCGTAGCCTTTATTTTGATGAAAAGGAATGATATATCAAAGAAGAATTATATCAACTTGTCCTGTCATTTAACATCTTTGCAGCTTTGAAGAACACTATGGTCAAAATTATTTCACTGTAGTTTAACAGAGTTACAGATATTTAGCATCAAAAGCACCAGTGTGTATAAAAAAATTATACAAAACTGCAGGATTTAATGAAAACCATCCAGTTGTTAACATTAAGCAAGACACATAGCAGGGATGAGCAATTTAGTGCATGTCCTTCTGCTGTGGCAGTTTTTGAGGTCTTTGACTTCTTCACATTCACACTTCCTGGACCACCTTTTCCTGCCCCACCAATAAAGGATAAACTGCTTCCCCTGAAAGCCTCCAAGAGAGGCAAATCACTTTTTAAAAGCATCGCAGAGTCTCTCCCTGCACTGTTTAAGGTTGAAAAATGCAAGCATTTCAAAATGAGAAGTGAACCTGGCCACCTTCAGTTTTGAATGTTGACTCTTTAGCAATTTTGGCAATCTCTGATAAATTAACCCCCAGACTCACTGATATATAGGGACAGACCTAGGATGGTTCCTCAATGGAAAGGCTTCTTCCATTTTTTAAAAAAGTTACTGGAATCTGATCTTCATTGACTCTCCTTTTTCCACAGACCACTGCTTCCACTAAGTTTCAATACTGAGAACTCTTGCTATTTGGTGTACTTTATCTAAGCCAGGGGTTCCCAACATTTTTGACTCATGGAGCCCTTTTTAGAATTAGTTTATATGATGGAGCCCCTAAGAGGCCTATCCTATGTCTTACAAGTTAATGGTGTTTAGGAGAAGTGTTATTTTTTGTTTCTTATTCTTTAATTTCATTCCATTTTTATTTATTTCATTTTCCTGGAGTGGCCACAGAGCACCTGGGAAGTGCACATGGAGCACAGGTTGGGAACCACTGATCTAATCTGTAAAAGATTATAATTGGTATGGCCATGTTGGAAGACCAAATGGCTACACACAATTTTCTTTTACAAACAAGCCAATGGACGTTATCACACGTGGGCCAAAAAG